CTAATTTTTTACAAGCATATAATACTCGGATTATCGAAACGGGATCCGTGGTAGGCTTCCACGAGCTCAACAACACCCTCCAGTATTGGACTAGAGGAAAGCCAATCCCTAAAATAAAAATAAACAAATAATCCTATGCATAACATGGGTGATTTGGTGGTTAATATTTATATTATGAAAGAGAATGTTAGATAACTTATTATATGACTGAATACGTTTTTAAAAAACAGAGAGATTGTCACGATCTATACAAATTTTTTTCTTATCATGTGATCAAAACGAAGTGTACAAAAACTTAATCACAAATTAAGTCAATTGATAGTTAAAAAATATAACCATTTTTTTGTTCAAAAAATACAGTGAATTAAAGACCCAATTACAATTTTATTTTTATTTTTTTAAATTTTTTTGTGCAAAACAACATACAATCTAATCATCAAAAAATATAGAAATTGTCACAATCCAAACAAATTTTTTTCTAATCATGTGATTGAAATAGAATGTAAAAAAACGCAACCATTTAAAAAATAAAATTACCATGTGATCAAAACGGAATATAAAAAAACACAATCACATTTTTGTTCATAATAAAAATAAAAATAAAAACAATGAAATTGATTGGTAATTAAAAAACACACTAAATTTTTTTTTCTCCAAAAAATATAGTGAGTTAAAAATCTAATCACAAATTAAGTTAATTAACGGAGTGTAAAAAACACAATCACATTTTTGCTCCTAATAAAAAAAGAAAAAAAAAAAACAATGAAGTAAATTGGTAATTCAAAAAATACAGTTATTTTTATTTTAAAAACATACTGAGTTAAAAACCCAATCACATATTAAGTTAATTGATAGTTAAAAACCACAATCATTTTTTTCCCAAGAAATACAGTGAGTTAAAAAAATTAATTACAATTTTTTTTTAAACAAAATACAATCTAATCATCATCAATAGTGGGAACTGTCATGTGAACCTAATGAATATAATCTTTTTTTTATCTTCAGAAAACACAAATATTGTCACAACCCAAACAATTTTTTTTCTCAACATGCGATTGAAATGAAGTGTACACAATCCGTTAAAAAATAAAATCACCGTGTGATCAAAACGGAGTGTAAAAAAATACAATTACATTTCTGCTTATAATAAAAAAAAGACCAATGAAGTTAATTAGTAATTAAAAAAAACAATCATTTGTTTTTTCAAAAAACACAATGAGTTAAAAATTTAATCACAAATTAAGTCAATTGATAATTAAAAAATACAATCATTTCGGATCACAAATCAAATCAACTGATATTTAAAAAATGCAATTATTTTTTTTTTCAAAAAATACAGTGAGTTAAAAAATCCAATTATAATTTTTTTTTGCTAGGGAAAAAAAATCTAATCATCATAAATAGTGGATACTTTATGTGAACCTAATGAATACAATTCATTAAGTGATAAAAAAAAAAAAAAAAAAAACATAGAGATTGTCACAATCTAAATAATTTTTTTTTTTCTTGTCATGTGATCGAAATAGAGTGTAAAAAACACAATCAGTTAAAAAATAAAATAACCATGTGATGAAAATGGAGTTTAAAAAAAGGGGTTTCAAATATTTTATTTATTGTTCATCTAGACTTTTTTAGCACTTGTGAAACATGGTGGATCCCTTTTTTTTTTTTTTTTTTTTTAATCTCAATGGTCAATTAAACAAATTTAAATAAAAAATGAAATTTTTTTGACTCAAATTGCTAAAAAGTAACTTTTGCTAAAACAAAATAAAAATAGATGTTATTTTTCTATTAAAAGTAATGATTCGTGAAATATCTTTTTTTTTATTAAAAAAATGAGGGCTATAGGTGATAATTTATTGTCATCTAGAATTATTTTCAGGTCAAATGAGAATGTCATTCTAAATTTTCTTCTTACTTTTTTTTTTATTTTATCCTAATACTTTTATTTTGTAAGAAAATTTAATTTTATAATATTTAAATTATTTTATACCATTATAAAATGTCATTTTTCTAATATCAACTTATTTGATGATCCATTTCTAAAAGGTGTATTTGCTTTTTGTTCATTAATATTAATTTTTTAATTGATCTTATTTATTATTAAAAAATAAATTAGCAAATAATTTTATAAATTTATATATACAATTTTGTTTTGATTGCATAGGTTATTTGGTGTATGTGCCCAAGTCCATTCAAATTTATTCAAAATTTTGAATTTTGCATAGGTTCTCAAAAATTAAAAATTATGTTGTCCAATTTAAAAAGTTTACAAACTTGACTCGAGTTGTTTGGGTTCAACTAACCCAAATTTACAACTCTAGTAAGGGGATTGAATGTTACATGATTGAAATTGTGACAAATTAAAAATTGATACATAAATTGTGATAAAATTGTGAAACTTAAATTGTAGGCTTCAATATATTTTTATTTTCATAATTTACATACAAAAATATAGTTATTTATATTATTTTGTATAAACATATTTTATTAATCTTTTTCACATCCCGTGCATAACACGGGTTTTCACTAGTTTATATATATGCAAATGATAATATTTTAGCACGCACTTGTGACATTTCGAACATTGGTTCTATAATGTAATTGTTTGTCATGGAGAATACATGCTCTAAACCGACATGCTTCTTTTTGAAGTTGTTTCAATTTATCTTTGAATATGGAATCATTATTATCAGTCTAGCGTGAAATGAGTAATTTTTTTTTTCCAGTATAGCCTATTGATTTTAGCAGTAATTGTATCACATTTCATTCTATAAAAAAATTATTGTAATAAATATGGAATGAATATTCAATAAATTATAAAGTATAAAATAAAAACAAAATAATAAAAACACATAAAAAATAAAGGGTTTGGCTTGATCTGATCGGAGGGTGCTGTTGGGCCCATGGGTGCCCACTATAGGTCCCGTTTTAATAACCTGAACCGTTGAATATGTAGAACTCGTCGAGTAATATATACCTATAAAAAATCACATTAATTGAATATCGATATCTACGTGATCAAATCAGTTTTATGTAATAAAAAAAATGGACGATAAACAAATAAATGGTTGATAGAAATCTAATCTGCTAAAATAGCTATTGATATCTGATCAACATAATTTTTTACAAGCATATAGTACTCGGATTATCGAAACGGAATCTGTGGTAGGCTTCCACGGGCTCAACAACACCCTCCAGTATCAGACTAGAGGAAAGTCAATCCCTAAAATAAAAATAAACAAATAATCCTATGCATAACATGGGTGATTTAAAGACCCAATTACAATTTTTTTTTTTTTTTGGCAAAACAACATACAATCTAATCATAAAAAAATATAGAGATGGTCACAATCCAAACAACTTTTTTTTCTAATCATGTGATTGAAATAGAATGTAAAAAAATGCAACGGTTTAAAAAATAAAATCACCATGTGATCAAAATGGAGTATAAAAAAACACAATCACATTTTTGTTCATAATAAAAATAAAAAAAAAACAATGAAATTGATTGGTAATTAAAAAACATAGTAAATTTTTTTTTTCTCCAAAAAACATAGTGAGTTAAAAATCTAATCACAAATTAAGTTAATTAACGGAGTGGAAAAAACACAATCACATTTTTGCTCCTAATAAAAAAGAAAAAAAAAAAGAAGCAATGAAGTCAATTGGTAATTCAAAAAATACAGTTATTTTTATTTTAAAAACATATTGAGTTAAAAACCCAATCACATATTTAGTTAATTGATAGTTAAAAAGCACAATCATTTTTTTCCCAAGAAATACAGTGAGTTAAAAAAATTAATTACAATTTTTTTTTAAACAAAATACAATCTAATCATCATCAATAGTGGGAACTGTCATGTGAACCTAATGAATACAATCTATTTTTTATCCTTTTTTTTTCTTCAGAAAACACAAATATTGTCACAACCCAAACAATTTTTTTTCTCATCATGTGATCGAAATGAAGTGTACACAATCCGTTAAAAAATAAAATCACCGTGTGATCAAAACGGAGTGTAAAAAAATACAATTACATTTTTGCTTATAATAAAAAAGAGACCAATGAAGTTAATTAGTAATTAAAAAACACACTAATCATTTTTTTTTCAAAAAACACATTGAGTTAAAAATTTAATCACAAATTAAGTCAATTGATAATTAAAAAATACAATCATTTCGAATCACAAATCAAATCAACTGATATTTAAAAAATGCAATCATTTTTTTTTCAAAAAATACAGTGAGTTAAAAAATTTAATTACAATTTTTTTTGCTAGATAAAATACAATCTAATCATCATAAATTGTGGATACTTTATGTGAACCTAATGAAAACAATTCATTAAGTGATAAAAAAAAAAAAAAAACACTGAGATTGTCACAATCTAAATAATTTTTTTTTCTTATCATATGATCGAAATGCAGTGTAAAAAAATAGTCAATTGATAATTAAAAAACATAATCACAAATACAGTGAGTTAAAAACCCACAAAATAAATATTTAATAAATTGTACAGTACAAAATAAAAATAGAAAAATAAAAACACACAATATCTATTGGTACCCATTTATTTTTTAACAGAAAAAGAAAAACACACAAATAATCTCATGCATAATATGGATGATATTGTAGTTAATATTTATATTATGAAAGAGAATGCTAAATAATATATTACTTGACTAAATAAAATTTTAAAAAACATAGAGATTGTCACCATACACACAATTTTTTTTTTCTCATCATGTGATTGAAACGGAGTGTAGAAAAACTTAATCACAAATTAAGTCAATTGATAGTTAAAAAATACAATCATTTTTTTTTTTTGGTTCAAAAAATACATGAGTAAAAGGCCCAAATACAATTTTTTTTTGGGCAAGATTAACTCAAAGCAGATATTGATTGTGCCCCCTGGATGGAGGTCCAAGTTAAATTTAGGGTACGCCGCGAAGTACCCCATCAAAACCCTTATTAAACCCTCCAAGGCTCCAACATCTTCTCGCGCTAAAACATCTTAAACCCTAAACCCTCACTCGGTTCTCTCTCTCTCTCAAATTTTCTCTCTCCTCGCCATGGCTTCCCTGGCGAGCAGAAGGAACCCTCTCCTTACATCCTTACCTTACATTCTCACATGGAGGAAATTCGGCTTCCGCACCATTTGCAGTGGTCGCATCGGCTTTGCTCCGTCGCCGTCGCTGTCGCTGTCGCCGTCCGATTACGAAACCTCCGTTGCCGGCACGAAGGTTCTGGAAACATTCACAGAAGAATTCGAAATCGGATCACGGAGATTTTCGTTAGAGACAGGAAAGATCGCCCGATTTGCTAACGGTGCAGTTGTTCTAGCCATTGAAGAGACCAAAGTCCTCTCCACCGTTGCTTCATCTAAAGGCGACTCCGTTCGCGACTTCTTACCCCTCACTGTGAGTTTCTATCTTTATTTTTTTATTTTATATGCTTTTGAATGGTTATTGGCTATTCTGATATTTTATTGAATTGATTAAATTCTTGATTTGATCGGTTGTTGGGATTTTAGAGTGAACGATCACAAACTTATGTGAACCATTAATGTTGCAGAGATACAGAAATGCATAGGCAGTTAGAGTACATTTGGCCTTTATGAAATTAGGGGGCACTCTGTGCATGAATTAGGGCAAATATTAAGATATTAAACTTTGATTGAGTGTTTATTTATTAAAAAAAATAACACTTGATTGATGACAAATGCAAGGGACTTGGGTCAATGCTAGAATTACATGGGGCATTTGGATGGTGGTACTATGGAACAATTGAATCATATTATTGCAATTTCATAGCTCAGTGGGAGTGTGACATTTTATTTTATTTTAGTTTGCTTATAATTCTGAAGGCATCGTGCTTTTGTTGCCTTAAAAAAAAAAAAAAACGAACAAACCAAAAAAAAAAAAAACAAAGGAACCAAAAAAAACCAATAGACCTGTGGGAGGCTACTAAATAGTATCTGTTGAACTATTTTGGTATGTTAAAGCAACGCAGCTAGTTTATTTAACTTTATACCCAATAACCGCTGTGGTGTTGAACTATTAATATAAACTCTTTTATTTTGGGGCATGCTTCACATAGCCTTTTTTGGTTTGTTTATTTTGTGTTTTGGTGGTAAACAATTGGTTTGTTCCCTTGATTTCATGATGATATTTTTGGCTTTTGCTTCTTTCAAGGTTGATTATCAAGAGAAACAATTTGCACAAGGTGTGATTCCCAACACATTCATGCGAAGGGAGGGTGCTCCAAAAGAACGTGAGCTTTTATGTGGTCGTATCATTGATCGACCTATACGACCACTTTTTCCTGCTGGATTCTACCATGAAGTCCAGGTATGGTACAGCTGTCTTGGTTTATGCCGTATTTTATAGGCTTTTCTTTCTTCTTCTTTGCTCTGACTCTCTCAATCTTTATGGACTGGTTTTTAGGTAATGGCAAGTGTTCTTTCTTCTGATGGGAAGCAGGATCCAGATATAATGGCAGCTAATGCAACATCTGCCGCTCTTATGTTATCAGATATTCCTTGGGGTGGCCCCATTGGAATGATTCGTATTGGAAGGATTTCCGGGAAATTTATTGTTAATCCAAGCATGGATGAGGTAGTACTCAGATATTAATTTGATGGTAGAGGTGCATATATATTCTCTTTTTGAATGCACTGATTAGCATATTCATGGGGTTGTGTTAATATGCTATATATGTACCTATATTCAATGATATTTGAAAATGTGGGGTTTTTCTTTTCCATGTTGGTGTTTATTGATCTGGTATTGAAGGTTGTTATTTCACAGAAGTTTTGTTTGTTTGCTTTCACAATTCTCTTTGCTTTTCCATTTTATTTATTATGTTCAATATAATGTCGACCTCAGTGCTGCCTACACATCACTTGCTTCAATTTTAAATGCTCAATTTGTATTCCTTTTCTTGCTAAAGCTGAAACACCTCCATTAGTTAAATTATATTAGGGGTCTCATAGTGTTGTCACACTTATTGAAGAACCCATCCATTACCATCTATAAGAGTGGTTTTGCATCAATTCAGATGGGGGTAGCATGTGTGTGGGATCTGTACTAATGATATTTGGCAGAGAAGAGAAGAGAAAGTTTTAAAAATCTTTTCTTTTTCTCTTAAAATAAAAGAATCTAGGAAATAAAATTTCTAAAAACTTTTCCCTCTTAAAAAATCTTCATTACATGCAAGGCAATTTGGAGGGAAGTTTCAACTTAAATGTAGGCAAAACAAATAGTGCTAAAGGGTACACAAATTGAAATATTTTCCCTTAACTTTTTACTTTCTTCTCAATCAATAGGGACAAATACTAAGTTATTTTCTTCTCTTTTCTCTCTTTTCTTTCCTCCTGCAAAATGCAGCACAAAGATCTGATTGTTAAGATGCTCTATTACAATATTTATGCAGTATGTTCCAACCCTCATGCCCTTGCATTCTTTCCCAATCCAAACAAAACCTCTATATCATTTTCATTGGTATGGATTAATTGGTTCTGTTCCTGTAATGATTGGTCCGTGTAATATAATTTTGTAAAATGATAATTTGCTAATTTGTTTTTAGTATTACATTCAATTTCAAATATTGAATCGACAGCTTATCGGCTTGAGTTAGCATGAATTATTTTAAATTTCTCCCCAGTTCTAATATCTTTGAAGCATTAATTGCACAAGCTTTTACGGTGTGTTTAGGGACTTTTGTTCAGATTCTGATTATCATTGGCATCATATTGAACGCCATGCAGCTCAACTTAAGTGATCTCAACTTGGTTTATGCCTGCACAAAGGATAAAACTTTGATGATAGATGTGCAAGCTCGTCAGATTTCAGAAAGAGATCTGGAAGCTGCCTTAAGGCTGGCTCATCCTGAGGTTAGCCATAAAACTCATAACAATTTTGCAACTATTAGTAATTGAATTAATTAAGACGTGTGACTTCGAATAATCAGGCAGTTAAATATCTTGAGCCTCAAATCAGACTGGCGGCCAAAGCTGGTAAGCAGAAGAAGGAATATAAATTGTCTATGGTGTCAGAGAGGACATTGGACAAAATCAGGAACTTGGCTGAAGCACCTATTGAAGCTGTCTTTACTGATCCTACGTATGGCAAGGTGTGCACACAGGAAACATTTTGAAAAAATATGATACCTTTTACTTATCTACATGCGTATGTATATAATAATATATTTTTGAGGATAGTGTTATTTGGTTGGTCGTCTTGCCTTCCTATGTGTGATACTCTCTACCCAATATGTTCTCTTAAATTAATTATTTTCCTACTATTTACATTCAGTTTGAACGTGGAGAGGCTTTAGATAAGATCACACAGGATGTAAAAAGGGCACTTGAGGAAGAGTGTGATGAAGAAAGCTTAAAATTTGTATCCAAGACCGTTGACACAGTACGGAAAGAGGTATGCATACAAAATTTTGAGTTAATTCTCTGAGTAAGCTATATTCAGTGAAATTCTTCAGTTAATTATATAGTCATGTTTGCAGAATGGATTCTGTATGTTTAAGCTTCTTTTTTGAGAAGTATTGTATTAACACTTATTTCCCATGATTTGTTGTATGCAAGTGTCTATTTTCTTTATTTACGATTTAAGTTGGTTATGTCATGTAAACATTTCTTCTTGGAGAAAAGATACTTGGTATGTCTATGCTTCACAGAGTGTGTATATTGGTCTTTAACAAAACCAAGATATTTTGTGTGAAATTATTGGACCATAAACTTTAGGCGTTTGGAAAATTGTTTCTGAAGGTAATGGATGGCCTTTTATGAACTGTTCATTTAGGATTTTAGATGTTTTATTTGTCATACAAAATTCATGTCTATTTATTTAGTTTTCACATCTCTCTTTGATGAAGAGCATCTCAATTTTTATAAAAATATCAGGTTGTTCGCAGAAGGATTATTGATGAAGGACTGAGGGTTGATGGGAGATGTCTTGACAATGTTAGGCCTTTATTTTGTGAAGCTGGTAATCTACCTCAATTGCATGGATCATCACTTTTTTCACGCGGAGATACTCAGGTCAGTGTGTCAACTTTTTAAATTCTGTTGGTCAGTGTGGATTACTTCGCTATATAGACAGAATGTGCCTATTTGTACATGTTGAGTTCCAACTGTAGTCATATGTTTGATGTTATCAACAGGTTCTTTGTACTGTGACCCTTGGAGCACCTGGAGATGCTCAACGTTTGGAGTCCCTGGTTGGTCCCTCAACGAAGCGTTTCATGCTTCATTATAGCTTTCCACCATTCTGTATTAATGAAGTGGGTAAAAGAGGTGGCCTGAATAGGCGTGAAGTTGGACATGGTAAAGTAATTTATTTATTATTTGATAAATAAGTAAAGAAATGCATTTTTCTTCATGTTATTTTGTCATGTCAATAATGAATTCGTATCGGTCTGTTGACTTTGACCATTTGAATCCGCCTTCCCACTCTGCTCGTCTGCTTGATAATTCTGTTGCTCGATTTAACTCTTTGGATGTCTTCCATTCTTAAACTTTCTGCATAAATAGAACTATATCACAATTTCATAATCTATGCAGTGAGGAACAAATATTGAGGGGGTAAAATTGGCAAAACTTGGTTTGTAAATGTATCTGTGTGTTATTCTGGATGTTGTTCAAATCTGAAGCTGTTTATGTACCAAGCTTGCTGTTACAGGAAGTTATTAAATGACTTCCCGGGGATGGTTGGGCCTTCTAAATACGATACTTGCATATCAAATACAATTTATATAGTAATATAAAGAGCTAAAAGTGTTGGGGATAAAGGTAAACTACTGGTGACTAATTCCCAGGAAGGGTCAAAGTTCGGTGGACATAATGTGGTGATTCTGAATGATGCTTTAGGTCCATAATTGAGGTAAATACAGACTATGCCACTGAAATCTATTTCCAACATTTCTGCTCTAATAAATGATGTGTTTGCTGAAGCATTCCACTAATGCTGTGTTATTATGCGTCTCATAAGATGATGATTTTCTGTAAAGAGAAGTGTTAGTACATTTAATCTAAATAGCTATCTGTGTGTAAAATGCATAATTTGTTCAACAAGCTAAGTGCTGGAAATTTGTGTTAATGTATATAATATGATAGTGGTGTTGGTGAAGGATAGTGGCATGTATAGAATATGATAGTGGTGTTGGTGGTAGATAGTGGCATGTATATTTGTCTTTGCTTGGGTTCTTCATTTCATGTAGGCACCCTTGCTGAGAAAGCACTGCTTGCTGTCTTACCTCCTGAAGAGGATTTAAAATACACAATTCGTGTTAATTCAGAAGTCATGGCATCTGATGGTTCAACGTCAATGGCAACTGTCTGTGGAGGTATAATTTTCTAACCTACTACAGTTGCTTCTATCTGGCATTCCACTGTGTTCTGTCTCTGCATTGGAGTCCTCATCCTGCATTAAAATTTGATCGTTTATCTTTGTCTCCTCTCTTTTTACCGTGGTAGTTGAGATTGTTTTCATTTGGTGACAAAGCGAACAGGGACTTTCCAGTAGTCACTACTAAATGCTAGAGAAATTGAAAAATCATCAATGCAAGTAATTGATTTAAATAGATCACCATAACTTCTTTTGCACAAAAGCTTCTATACTGTTTTGCGTGAAAGTTGCTATATGATTTGAAAGTTGGTTATGTGGTAGACTAATAGTTATATTTCATTAAGCAAGTTGCTAGATGCTCCCTTTCTGTTTTTATTTACTGTAGGTAGCATGGCTTTGATGGATGCGGGAATTCCATTAAGAGAGCATGTAGCAGGTGTGTCAGTAGGCCTTGTGAGTGATGTTGACCCATCAACTGGCACAATCAAGGATTACCGCATACTGACTGATATTCTGGTAAGGATTATAATCATATTTTGGTTTTGGTTTTGGTTTTTGTTTTTTTTTTTGTTTTTGTTTTTTTTGTTTTTGTTTTTGTTTTTTTTTTAACTTTTCATGAGCTGAACATTGTGAAGTATTTGGAATTTTTTTATATAAAAAAAAGAACATGGGAAAGTCCTCGGAGCCTTTTCTTGTGAAGTTAATATATTGACTTTGTGACATTTCTTGCCATCTTTTGCAGCACTGACTGGTACTAAGTTCTTGTAATTCTTTAATTGCACATCTGAGTTCTCTCTATCTCTAGGGCCTGGAAGATCATCTGGGAGACATGGACTTTAAAATTGCAGGCACACGGAATGGAGTAACAGCAATACAATTGGATATAAAGCCTGCCGGAATTCCTCTAGATATTATATGTGAGAGTTTGGAACCTGCATTTAAAGCTCGGCTTCAGATACTTGACCACATGGAGCGAGAGATAAATGCCCCACGTACTCAGGATGAAAGAAATTCTCCTCGAATAGGTTGGGTTCTGCACTCCTATTGCACTCTGTCCAGTAGATGGCTTGCTGTCATGAAAATTTCAATCACAGTATCGTATTTTATGCTTGTGTAAAGTTTATAATATATTTTGCAGTTAGCTTAAAGTACAGCAATGAATCTCTTCGCCGCTTGATCGGGCCTCTTGGTGCCTTAAAGAGAAAATTTGAGGAAGAAACAGGTCTGACTTAAGCTTGGAAATTCTTCACATCTTTAATGCAATCTTTGAAATCCCTCTCTTGAATCACTAGAATTTGTGCTCTATTTGTTCATCAAATTCTCCCTTTGATCACTTAGCAGGTAGATCAAGGCTGTGGTTTTATATGCATATATCACTATTTCTCTAATAATCTGTATTAGCTTCTATAATCCAGGTGCACGGATCTCTGTGAGCGATGGAACACTTACTATAGTTGCTAAGAACCATTCTGTACTGGAAAAAGTATTAGAAAAGGTACTTCCTGCACTTTATTGACGTATTCTATTCATCTACTTTGATTGAAATGTGTTGGTTTCTTTGTCATTTTCATTTTGAAAATCTAAGAATCTATCTATAATAAACTTAGTTTAAACCTTGAAAGAGGTTTCCCTTAAAAACTAACAACAAAAACAAACCAAAAAAAAACAAAAAACAAAAGAAGAGTAAGAAAAATTATCAAAAAAAAAAAAAAAGAAAAAGGGAAAGGAAGGGAAGGGAAGAGAAGACCTAAGCACTACTAGGGGATGTGGTAGTAAAAAATATGAATTTATTTATTCTTCTATATATAGATTGTATAGGAATTGTAATCAATGTATCTTGTAATACATCAACTCATCAATCAATAATATACATCAAATTTTACACTTTGTTTGGTTATTCATCATTACGTTGCATTTGAATTCTTATATTAGGTATAAATATTCATAATTGAATTGTCATAAGCATCAATAGAATAGTGTTTCAAAGCACAAAAGAATTTTTGTTCTACAACATAGTGCATGTTGATACTTCTGCCATCCCAGAATTTTTGTCACCATGGAAAATCCAACTTTAAATGAGACAAGTATTTACTGTGTTGGCACCCAACTAATAGAGTATAGTATACATTTCCAAAACTATCCCTCCACTCCACATTTTTTGAAAGGATAATATTGTAAAATGATAAAATCATTAGATTTAAGTGTTTTGACTTCTCAAAATGGACCTCATTTTAGGACATCTTCAAATGGAATAGTGGACAACAAAAATATGGGACAGAGGGAGTGCACAGGAACTATGTGTGCTGTCGTGGAGTTTAAACTTTGTAATCTTTATCTAAAATCCTAATTATAGAATACTTCTCTCATGTGATATATGTTTGCTAATTTTCATTCATTTTGTAATGGAAGCATAAACTTTTAATTCTGGATTAGGGGTGCTGCAATTTTTATCTTGTGTAAAGAATAGGTTACTGATAATTTTATTACGCTAATACTTGAAGACAACTACAGTAACCCCTTTCAAAATTGCTAATGTGTTGATCCATTCAAAGAATTGAATAGAAAGATAATTTCTATAACTTGTGTGCTGATTGATATGTTGGTATTTTATGATTGACTCACTAAGGTATCACCTTAAAGTTGAACGTGAAAGTGAGTGATTGAAAGTTGGTTGCCCACTTATGCTCAGAGATTTTAAAAGAATAAAGCAAACCTGAAATGGGAGAATAAAAAAACCCTGAAATGTGAAGGTTTTCGCTGATAAGGCCTTACAATGTTCCAGTAAGGGCATGATTGGGTATTCCACTAACCATAGCATGTCTTGTTATGACTGGTTCTGAGTTTAATGTAATGATTAATTGTGTTCTTTAACCCTCTTCATTTGATGTCTCCCCTGATCTCTAGAGGCTAATTTTGTTCTTTCTCTTCCTTCTTATATTTTTTCCATTCATGTCCCTCGTTTTGACTAAATTTCTAATAGTTTTTCTCTCTGAAAAGTGTGAAATATAGTAGTACTTGAATCTCCACGACAAATTTCTCAAAGATAAAAATTAATTCTATGGTTACTGAATGTCTTGTGAATAGGTTTATTTGTGTCAAAAAGATCTTGCTTTATTGCTTGAAAAAATCACATTGGGTGCTGTAAAAAGTTGTAGATAGTTGTTTATGATTCTCAGACCATGTGCATTACATATTTTGTAAATTAGACTAAATGTGTCCATTTCATTTACTTTAATCATTCTCAAGGATATCTTTGTTCAATGAGAATCATCAAACTGAAGGTTTTTTTTTTTTTTTTTTTTTTTTTTGGATATTGTTCTCAGGTTGATTTTATAATTGGTCGTGATATTGAAGTTGGAGGGATTTATAAAGGTACCGTAACATCGATCAAAGAATATGGTGCTTTTGTGGAGTTTAATGGTGGCCAACAAGGCCTCTTACACATTTCTGAATTGTCACATGAACCGGTATGTGAATAGTTGTGGTGCTAACATAGAGCAATATTTACTTTTCCTCTATTTTCCATTGAACAAATTGTCTATTATTTGACATCGTTAGTTTTGACTAATCATTATGCACATAACATCGAAGATGTAGGCCTTGTTTGGTTTGTATCTAGAGATACAGGTATGTTTGGTTTGTATTTGGAAGATGAGTTTTAGAAAAAAAATTCTAAAAAATTGTTTGGTTTGAGTTTTTCTCAAAAAAATTTCAAAATCACTTTCTCTCTCTTACACATCAATCAATCACTTTTTCTCTCTCCTCTCTCCTTCTCAATCACTTTTTCTCTCACACACATCTACTCAAATTCTCCCAAAATATCAAATCATCCCAAACTCTCAAAAAAACAACTCTCCCAAAATATACAACCAAACAAACCAAAAAAATTTCTAAACTCTCTCCCCAAATTTTTTTTCAAAAACAACTCTCCCAAAAACAAGCCAAACAAGCCCACAATTTTTGAGAAAAAATCTCAAAAATTTGTTTGGTTAAAAAATTTTGAAAAAAAAAATTCGAAATCACTTTTCTTTACATTACACATCAATCAATCATTTTTTCTCTCTTTCCCTTCTCTTTATCTCACATCCTACATACACATCAATCAATTACTTTTTCTCTCACACCCATCTATTCAACTAAAATAAAATAAAATAAAATCATCCCAAACTCCAAAACTATTCTCAAAACATACGACCAAACAAATTTTTAAATTTTGTAAACTCTTTCTAGAAAATTATTTTTCAAAATTGTTTCACATATACAAACCAAACATGGGTAGTTCCTTGCTCAATTGACACAAGAAGGGCGGCCATTAATTATACTAGTTTTTGCTCTTAGATCCTTCAAATATTAAGAGCTAACTCTCCTTAAGCATGATTCCTGCGACGGCAACTGTCCTCGCTTATCTTGTTGTTATAGTAATTTGCTGATGGTTGGAGACTTAACTCATGTCATTATTTTACTGGCATTCATTTGAAACTTCTGTTCTTTTCTATATCTTGAATTGTGTAATGTTCAACATGCTATATTCAATGAGCATTATTGAAATGTTCAACATGCTATTTTCAATGGGCATTATTGAAGACTATGGCATAGTTTTGCTTCTATTGCTATTGTGGTTGACTGGAAAAGCAATAAACATAATTTAAATTTAGAAATGGATGGAAAGGCCTGAAAAGAGTTGCTTGCAATTGATTACTTGTGTATGTTAATGTCTATATATACACGGACATACTGGAAGAGACTATAGTGGTCTTGGAATGACAACATTCATGTTTTTCGATAAATAAAATAATTTTTTATGAACACATTCATGGAAACCAGAGTGGTTGGTTTCCTATTGCACTTGAATGTTTGCATCTAGTTTTTAAGTATACTTGATTTGGGGTGATTTTCACTTTTCACAGCGACAATTTTAGTTTATTGAAGAACTTGTATTTTATAGTCTGTTGTTGCTTTCATTTCTCTTCATGAAACTTGTGTCTGTTTCTCATCAGGTTTCCCGAATAGCTGATGTGGTATCTATTGGCCAGCAACTTTCCTTAAAGTGCATAGGGCAGGATCTTCGTGGCAACGTCAAATTATCTCTTAAAGAAACTTTACCCCGACCAGGATCTGAAACAAATAATTTGGTTGAAGGGTCTTTTGCACATACAAAACAAAACCTTAATGTTTGGACATCAGTTGGGGATATGCCTAATGAGCAAGGAAAGCAACTCTCTGCCTTGGGGGATTCACCATTGTGTAGAAATGAAATTAGTAGGATATCCTCTCCTTCTTCATCGCCATCTATTCTAATTCGAAGCGCTGCAGAGTGTGATGAGGAGGAAACATCTGCCAGCTTGAATCAGAATCCTAAAAGTAGCTCCAGAGCTCTAAACCCTTCTGATTCTGTCAAGAATTTCAAAAAATTGCCATCTCAAAGTGACGTGATTGTCTCAACTTTTTCTGATTCTGGCCTGTTCCCAACCAGCAAAGCAAACAAGTCGAAACTATTTTCACCAAAGGAAAGAGAGAAAGAATCCAATTCTAACTTTGTAAGTGACAATGAAGCTGAGAATGAATACACCTCTGCATCCTCTTCACATTCTCAGGATGATCTAAATGATAAGGAAGCTGTGGTTGAGGCTTCAATAAATTCAAAAAATCTAAAGCTAGGGATGAAGGTAATAGCTAAGGTTCATCAAATTCGCGCACGGGGAATAGTCCTTGACTTGGGTGATGGAATTCGTGGGATGTATCGGTTTGAGGTATGTGTTAATCTCTTGGTTATGTTTTGTTAGCAGTAATTTTAATTTACCTTAGTGTTTGCGATGAGGTAATCATTTGGAATAGAATCTTATGCATATAAGAGGTACATGCAGTGGTGTGTTTGGCTTTGTATACATGGCTATCCTTATCCAGCTAGGGGTCTAAAATCTGCATAGTTCTTGTCTACCATGTAGTAGTAGCATTTACTGATTTTCAAGAATCTGAAAAGAAACATGATTTTGTTTTGAACCTAGTGGCAGACATGATTTTCAGGAGTCCAAAAGGAATGCATGTTACTTTATTGAGTATTATGAGGACAAGGTATACTGTTTGGTTTTGGGATATTGATAACATTCATGATTTTTCTTCTTTATCTATATTACAGTAATGCATTCAAAGCAGTTTTTTTTTTTTTTTTGGCCACACGGTAGTTTGTTAATAGGCTAGTAGAGTTAGATTACCACTGCAAGCCAACACCTCTGTTGATTTGAACCTGAAACCTCATCTGACTAGCACCAAAGTGCCCCCTCATGACAACTTGGGCTACAGCCTGGGTTGTAATGTATTCAAAGCTTGTTGAGCCTTAAAAGTTTATATATATTTGTATATTTGGTAGATTGATGTTATCTTGAGTGCCTCGTTTTTTCTTGCAGGCTGGTGGCAGGAGAGACTTTGAGGTTGGTGGTGAGTTGCGAGTCAAGTGTTCAAGTTTTACTAGCAAGGGAATCCCCGTAATGTCTATGGTAGAAGAGGAATAGTCTTATATTGGCTTAATCCTGAGAATAATGTCTCATGCATGACAATGAGCAACAACAGTGGCTTGAAGGAATATCATGTACCATAAGTGCAGGGATGTTGAAAATTTTGCTAGTATTTTATGGTGTGCATGGGTCGAGGCATGTGATATTCAAATGACCTTGTGGTCAGTGCAGCTTTGGTTCGAAAAAAGCTTTTGCGACCTGGCTAGTCCGTTTAACCATCAGGTTAGCTGGGTTCTCACTTGAAGTCTTGTTATTACGAAGTATGTTAGAACTTTGCCTATATGGACTGTCATGATTATAATTGGCCCAACATGCACTCCAAATTTTGATTAGGTAAGCCATGTAACTTCATTGTAAATTTTGTTTTCTAATAATTTTGTTATGAATATTTTTTATTATCGTGAAAAGGGAAAATGAAACAATATCTTGCAATCCTATCATGATAGAGAGAATTAGTTTCAAGCTTTTTAGAAACTCCAGACTTGAGTTCTACCTTAGGAATGACTACATTTTGTGTTTGCTTTTGAAGGAAATTCAGTTTATTATTGAATGAAAATTATAGGTTGAGGCCCGTTTCTATTGTCAGTTGTTTTCTATCAATCTTCCACTGTTCAGCCCAATTTGCTGACTAGCTTGTTCATTTTTTCGTGACATGTTGAACATTGACTTTTTAGGATGTTGGAATAGAAAAGTAAATTGCAGTGTCTATTTATTTATTTTTATTTTTTTTTATTTAAAATTTGTCATCACTTTTATTTATTTTCACCTTGTCGTACGTTACCATTTCCTTTGTGATCCTTTCTATATATTGGTTGGTGAGATGGCTTTTTCTGAGAGATGGTGGGTTGACTTCAGAGAACAACTTGTGCTGAAATTTCCTTTGTGATTCGTTCTGTGTTTGATTCTAGTTTTCATAATTCATGGTATAATTAGCAAATTAGGTATTTCATGAAAATTGTCACATGGTATAAGAGTCGCTATACTTATCACTAGACTTTGTAGATCAATCTAACAAATAATATAAGATGAGTTTTTTATAAAAAAAAAATTATATATATACACGTATGATATTTGTTATGTAAAAGATGAAATAAAATTGATAAAATCTATCGAAAACACAATTTTCTTTTCACCATTCAGATAGTTTCTACGAATATTCAAACAGTAGTCACCACCATCACACGTCATAGCACTTTGGACAATGATTCAGTCCAATTTCCATATGCAAGTTTTGATGGATTTGGACTCAAGTTGCAACGGAGGAGAGGACCCTCTAATAGAAGTAGACGACTTGGAAGAATGTAAAATGATAATTTTGATTAGGACACCCGATATAGTTGTGATGTGAGATAAAGCGATTCAAATTCATTTAGATTCACGAATGAATTTCTACAGCATCTTTCATCTCTGCTGTCCCGCTGTCCTATAGCGCATGAACCATGCTATAATTTTATTTATTTATTTTATGTTATATAAAATGATCAACCTTTTTTTACATTTCTCTCTCTCTCTCTCTCTCTCATATTATTGATTTTCTTTTTCTTTTTCTTTTTCTCAGTTTTACTTGATGGAAATATACTTACGATTAATATTGAAAATAAATAAATAAAATTTAGAGTTTAAATTGATAAAAGTAAGGGTAAATTACACTTTGTCCCTTTAAAGTTTCACCAATCTCTCACGTTGGCCTTTTAAATTTGATTTTTTTCACTTTAACCATTCATGTTTGCAATCCTTTTTACTTTGTCTCTTTAAGTTCGATTTTTCCTATGTTGGCTCTTTATATTTGCAATTCTTCTCACTTTGACTCTTTATGTTTTCAATCTTTCTCACTCTATTCCTAAGTTCCATCTAAAAAATTAATAGAATGTCATATCATCAACACATCAGCTTCACGTATGATATAAAAAATTTACTAAAGATGCAAAAAAATAAAAAATAAAAAACAAAAAAATTGGATTTTTTTTTAGTCTTTAGTGAATTTTTTTTTCAAATTTATTCATAAATATTATTACATTTTAGTAAACTTTTTTATTTTTTTAGCTAAATTTATTTATTTTTAGGTGCATCTATAGTGTAATAATGTTTATGAGTAAATATGAAAAAAAAAATAATTACTAAAGATTGAAAAAAAAATTTAATTTTTTTTATTTTTATTTTTCATTTTTAGTGAATTTTTTACATTACATAAAGCTGATGTGTTGGTGATGTGACAGATTCTATTAATTTTTTGAATGGAAGTTAGTCTAGAAGTAAAGCGAGAAGAATTGCAAATATGAAAGGCCAAAGTAAGAAAAATTTCGAACATGAAGGGTCAAAGTGGGAAAAATCAAACTTAAAAGGTTAAAGTATGAATGATTGCAAACATGAAAGGCCAAAGTGAAAAAAAAAAAATTAAACTTAAAAGGTCAAAATGAGAAATAGGTGAAACTTTAAGAGGGCAAAGTGTAATTTACCCTAAAATTAACTATTTGATTTTGTTATAAAAGTCAACCTTAGAGTTTTTTTGGGTATAATTTCTCCTATTCTTTTTCTTTTTATTCTGTTGGGTGGAAGACAAATTGGATGAGAAGCTCCAGTGCCAGCGATGCAGACGATATTTTTGAATTTTGGGACAAAGTGCTGTCTGGTTCCTAGTCCACCTAAAACACTTCGATTTTATTTTAGAGCTTTAATTCATAGACTCGTGTCCATTAATACCAATTTCTTTGCACGCCAAGTCCTAACATCCAGTCAAATAGGCTTGCTTAAATCAAACCAAACCAAACAGGCCGTGGAGATTATATAAGAAAACGACAGAAAGATGGCCTTGTTTGGTTTGTTTTTCAGAAAAAAATTTGGAAAAAATTTTCTATAAACAAATTTTCAAAAGTAATCAAACCAAACAAATTTTTTCAAAAAAAATCTCAAAATTTTGTTTGGTTACCTACTTTTCAAAATCACTCTTTCTCTCATACACATCAAATCAATCATTTTTTTAAAAATTCTCTCCTCAAAACAATTTTTCAAAACTATTTCTGAAAAAAGACGAACCAAATAAGTTTTCGTACTTTTTATCCCAAAAATTACTCTACAAACACAAACCAAACACATTTTTTTTTTTTACTTTATATATATATATATATATAACCCCATTGTAAAGTGGTAAAAAAAAATCCAAAAAAAAAAAAAGAGAATGAATATAAAGAAAAGTTTTGACCATTAAAATAGTTGAGATTCACTTTACTTGCAGTCCTCATAGGTGTTATTGAAAATTTTAATTTATTTATGATTTAATAAAAAAAATAAAAAAGAAGAAAATTAGCCACGTTCACCTCACGCTCCACGATTCATCATGAAAATTATAGCAAATTCAACATTTGCTACTAATGAATGCTAAAACTTAGAATAATGTTCTTATCATACACGTGGAATATATATATATATATATATAATAAATTTCATATTAAGGTCATTTTTGGCAATTAGTTAAAATAGACAAAAAGTCAATACAAAAAAATCAACTCATTTTCATTATTTTTTTACATGTCTTTTTGTAAATAAAAAATAAAAAATAAATTACTAAAAGATCAATTTAAAGAAAACAAGGTTAATGCAAGGTGATGATGTGGTGTCACACTTTTCTTAAACATGCATAGGCAGCAATGGAAAAGAAAAGACGGAGACTTTTGAGTGTTTGGAAGATAAAATTAGTCTTTGGCACCACATTTTAGAAAATGTGCATTTGGAGGACGAACTTGACTGCTCAACAGCTCAACTTAAATTAATATGTGCAACGGCAGCTACGGAAAAGAAAGAGACTTTTGAGTGTTTGGAAGATTCTAAAAATTAGTCTTTGGCACCACTTTTTAGAAAATGTGTATTTGGAGGACGAACTTGATTACTCAACAGCTCAACTTAAATTAATGAAGCGTTATTTTAAAAACTTGATTAAAAGTTAATTTTTTAATTTTTCTTTTACAAAATGTATAAAAAAAATAAAGAGATAATATAATTTAAAATAGATTAAAAGTCAGTTTGACTTTTAACTAAATTTCCAAATTAGGCTTGAATTATTAAGGACTTGAACCAAAAATAAAAAGAAAGGTTGGTATTATGGGTGGGGATTTTTATTTATTTTATTTATTTATTTGGATAAGGGATAAATTACAATTATCACAAAAAGTTACATCTAATTATGAAGAAAATTCAATAGGACCATAATGTTGTGTTTGATTAGTAGAATTAATGACGGGACTAATAATTTATAAGATTAGTATATGATTAGTTGCCTAACTGGATTAATAGGATAAATAATATCTCCATATCCATGTTTGTTTTGTAATGGATATAAAAATATATAATCTCAATAATATGTTTGTTTTGCATTATTTATTGTATGATTAAAAAAATAATAATTTTGTTAGATAAAATATGGATAAATTACACTGACACCTCCTGAGATTTCTGAATACAGATCCCCCATCTTATTTGAAAAATTACACTTATCCTCCTGTTAGATTAAAATGACATATTTGTCCCTTAGCCTTTCTACATATAAAATAATAAAATAATACTGATATTTTGTTCATGTCATTTAAACAGAAATAACAATCATATTCTTTGGTCTAACTCATACAAAAAATTGAATTTCTTTCTTTTTTTTACTAATTTTTTAAATATTTTAAGCATTTTTTTTTTTTATACTTTTTTAGATACAAGTAATCTAGATATACTTAAAAAGTATAATATTTTGTGATTTTTTTTAAATTCAACAAATACAAAAAAATTCAGTAATACTGAAATAAGTATAAATGACGGTATTTGGTAATATTATAATAAAGGTGGGTGAATAGGTGAGAAAGAAAAATGATGGTGGAAATAAAAATGAAAATTTTCATTCATATATAAAAATTTATACAAAAAATATCATAAAAATATTATTATAGTGATGTTGTAAATATAAATCATGTTTATGGTATTTTGTTTTAAAGTGAAAGGTCACCATTAAGCCTCCGTTTGGGAAGTGGGTTAGCTTTTTGGTTTTTGGCTATTTTAGCTTGGGGCTAAAAAGCCTGGTTTGGGAAAGGTTTTTTGACTTTTTTGGCTTTTTAGCTTTTTTGTGAGATGTCATCTTGTTAAATGACGAAATTGCCCTTTTCCATTTTTTTTTAATTTTTTTATTTGGGTTTGGATTTGGCATATTTTCGTTTTTTTTTTTTTTGTTTTGTTTTGTTTTGTTTTTTTTTTACAATTTAGGCTTTTTGTTGGGAAAAAAATTTTTTGTTTTTTTTTTGGGAATTTTTTTTTCAATTTTGGCATTTTTGTTTAAATTTATTTATTTATTTATTTTTGGATTTGGCATATTTTGGTTATTTTTTTATTTTAATTTTTTTATGTTATCTTTCGATTTCGCGTATTTTGCTATTTATTTTTTTTTTTGGGTTTGGATTTGGCT